TGGAGTTGTGGCCGTTGTGGCTGCAATGCGAGCAACGCCGCGTCATTTTTGGGTTCAAGCTCAACAAATCGAGGAAGGGGCGGAGGGATGAGAGAGAAGAAGGGAGGAAGAAGAAGAAGAAGAATATAATAATAAATTATGTGGGTTTTTATTTAAATAAGGAAAAAATGCCATATGAAAGAAGAAAAATGCCATTTCATAAAGATAACGTTATGTGGGTTTTTCACGTAATTATTATTATTTTTTAAATGTGATTTTATAGTAAAATAACGTGTCACTTGTCATTAACCGACGAAAATACCATTTTAGTATTGAAAATGAAAGTTTAAGGATAATTTTGATATATTTTAAAGTTAAAAAATAATTTTAATAATAAAATAAAAAATTAAGGGATCAAAATGATACTTTAACCTGATAATTATAATATGTAATGCCTGACGATTTAGTGGTGTGGCGGCGTTAAATTTGGACAAGGAAAATGAACCCAATCCACACCCAACCCAGCAGCAGCAAATTTGCAATCAGTATTTTTGACTTTCTCTTTCATGTTGCACGGACTCCACGTAGCCCCACTTGCCACTTGATTTAAGCATGCTTGGCATTTCCTTTCCAACTGATGTTATAGAATCACAGTGTGATTTGATTGCTACTCTTATCCTGAAGGCTTTTTTTCCAAGGCGAAATATGTTTGTTAGTCTCATGATTTAGATTCTATCTTTGAAGATGGGCATATAAAGTTACAACTTAGAAAAAGATGATTCTTCTTCTAGAAAAAATTGCATGGTAGGTAATGAAATAAAAAAATTACAAAAAATTAATATAAAAACTAAAATTTAACTTGAAGCAACTACTAGGATTTAATTTTTTTTTTTTTTTTTTGAACAGTTTTGTCATGGGGTGGGTTCGAAACCCGCCCAGGGAAGGAGGATGTGCACTTTTCAGTCGCTCTAACCACTGGGCCACATGAGCCAAATGCTGCTAGGATTTAATATTAAGCAAAATAATTAATTTAGTAATAATTTCTCTGTACAATTTCTTAGTATAATTTCACACATTCTTTAATTATCAATTTTTTTCACTTTACCAAAAACTATAATGTTTAATTATATATATTTATTTAATAACATATAAATATTTTAAATAAAAATTATAAAAATAAATTATCTGTATATTATTACTCTAAACTTAAACTTGTTAAAAAATGTTTTACAAGATGGACTCATGGACTTTTTTCCTTTT